GACCCTTTCAGTAAGGAATAGGAACGTAACTGAAGAACTGATTAAATTATATAATGAGGAGTTCGTTTGATATGCAGCCTTTTACTTAATATTATTATAACGATTAACTACTGGAGCATGAGATGGATCACGCATGAGGAAGAAGAGAAATGCACACAGAATTTTAGCCAACCCACCTGGGAGGCGTAAATATGAATCGGAGGCACAGAATGTGAGCGTACTGGGGCACGGACTGGATTAAACTTCTTGTGAATTCGCTGATGAACTTTCGGGATCCATAGAATGCAGTGAATTTCTTGACCATGCTGAATGAGTTAGTTCGTATGTTTTGAGGAACAGACGAGGGATTGCTTACTGTGCAGTTGCAAGAGTGTCATGTCAGTTCTTGTGGACGCCCAGCCTGAATGTTTACGTATTTCTATTTACTATTTTCTCGCCCCCAAAGGTGTCTCCACCTTGTCGTGGTGGTGGGACTTGCGTGACTCTGTGACCTTGAGAGCTATGCCCGGCAGTAGTTTAACTACCGGTAGGGTCACACATGTCGGAAAGATCAAAGGGTAGAGTCCAGAGTAAGAGAGATACCCTGGTCCTCCAGGCTGGGGGTTGTGCATGAGACTAACAACCTCAGACTGTAAAAAGAATTTTGTTCAGAAACCTAACAACCAGCCTCGGGTCATCATGCGTGGGTCCATTCCTGTGGCAACATGCATTGGTTGTGGAGACTGTAGAGAAGGCCAAGGCTCACCCAGGGCTGTAGCGCCGAGTGGTAGGTAGGCAGGTACTTATTATTTCCTAGCGGTCAGTTTGATGTTTGTCAAGAGAGGAAACATTGTGTGAGATGTGCCGTTCTCACGATAATGAAGATCGCCGTCTTACGGGAATGATGCCGTGCATTCTGCTAGATCATCACCAAACTTTCCGAGAAACTCGCTATTCCTTCTTCAGTGTAAAAGAAGTCTTCTATCCAGAAGTTGGAGGCAGAATGTTCCACTTAAGACTGGGGCCACACGAACGCACAAAATTCGTCCGTTGTAAAAATAAACAAGAGAGGTTCCATTGCAGACAAAACAATACGCACCGCATTCTGCAACTGTGTGGTGTCCTCAGCAACGTCCATCATAAAGTACATTCGTTGGAAAAATGCGTATCAAACTATAAGGCATCATATCCCGTACGACAGAAGCCTTCAAGAAGACTCCAAACCCACAAATGCAATACAACTAAACGTGCACAAATATGCGAAGGCATGAATAATTACTGATACATTTAGCCAACTTTACATTTCTTTTTGAAGATCTGCGTTAACTGTAATTAGGAGACTTGAACGTATTTGTAGAACAAAATGGTTGGTGTTGTGGAAATATTCTCTCATCTCGTATCGTGTTATAGTTTTATTTACCGCAGTCGTCCACACTTAACACGCTCAATATGTATACAGTCCCAAGAACATTTCGGCAGCACCAGCAGTATTTTCAACGGAATAGCTCATGAGCTACAGCTCAGTCTCTGCATTCTCCTGTCTAACCGTAATTTACATTTATCTTTGCATGAACACATGAATTTTCACACCGACATGAACTATTCTGACCCTTAAGATACCTCAGATATTAACAATTTGTATTGTGACATGACGCCTGAAAGCCGGAACATGACCGTCTGCTAGGCAACGCTTCGCTAAGCACACTCCCATGGCAACGCGGAATAGACCGTTGCTAGGCAACGGTTTGATAAACACGCATTACCGAGGCATCGGATACGCAGATTACAATAGACGAACCCTTTCAAGAGCGTACTCTGTTCGCGGTCCACACCTGGTCAGAAAATGTCACGTAATTCATTGGCAGTGAGTCGTACTGAAGTAGAAGACTATAGACTAGAGGCCAGTCCGAGATCCAGAAGAATACAGTGAGAGTTTAGTCATCAAAGAGTTCAATGTGTGAACTATTATTATCAACTGTACTTGTAATATAGACGTCCAATAAATCCAAACATCAAATCTATAACACACAATTATCCATCACTCATACCCCGTATGAGTGACAGTATTAATATATTTCCTGAGCATTTTTTCAACAGCCGGTATAGCGACTAGGTTACGGGTTGGACGATCAATTAGTCAGGGTTCGATTCCGGGTTGGGGTAAGATATTGCTCTCTTCTACATAACTTCCAGACCTAATCTGGTGCCCACACAGCCTCCCACACAATGAGTATTGGTAGATCCTAAAGGGTCCTGAAGGTAGTGTATAATACTCAGAATTTGGACTTTGTCCATCTTTCGGTATCCTGAAGAACACAACGTTTCGAAAACTGGATCTGTTTCCGTCCTCGGGTGAGAGGGGGAATACACCTACTCCGTTGGGTGCCTTAGAAAGAGTTAACTTCAATCACTGGACCTAATTCTAGTTTCTAGAATACCGGACGATGTATAAAGACCAAGAACCCAGTAAGTCTGAATGAGTGCCGGGTCTGCTTCAGGTGGTGGGGGAAGGGTACAGCAGCAGGGGCGTGAAACTGGCCACTCACCTCCATCTAATGCTGAGGTTAAGAATAGTGGAGCAATACCTCCACTTCCCATACGTCTTCATGGCGTGGTTCTTAATTACTTAAGCCCAGATTTAACTTTAACTTACAGTTACATTGATAAAATTATTATTCCCTTGATTTCTATTTACACCACAAATCGCCCTTTTACAGTGATTCTTATTGTGTCCGTCAATTTAAAAGCAATAGTATCGCGTAATATACTTCCACGAAACTAATGTTTCACATGCATCTTAATTTCTTCCCTTCGTATGCCCATTACAGTTTGGGTTAAGCAGTATCACTATACCAATGTTAGCTTTATGCTCGTATTGTCTATAATCCGTTGTTTATACGTCTGTGTCTCTACAACATTAATTCTAGTTGCTGGCTGCTGGGTGGCGTGCCCTGTCTACGCGTTGCTTTAATTACCGTCAGAAACAGTGTCCATGCGCGAAATTATGTAGGCTACAATCACGCCTCTTATCTTCACATGCAGATGACCCTGTACTCACAGGAGTAATTCATCATACATGAATATCCTACGCGACCGTTGTTGGTAAGGTCAAAGGTAAAGGTAAAGCTATCTCTGTAACAGACCGTGGTGGTCCATAGGGTTGTGAGGCGTCGAGGCTCCCACATTTTCTGTCTTCACCCCCAGGAAGATTCCTGGTACTCAGTTCTGTTAGAGGCTGAGTCGACCTCCTCAAGGCCATAGTGCGGCTGAAAGATTTACATCAAGTGAGAAGGCCAAACTCATGTTAATTATGAAACAATGGACTAAATCACTCAATAGAGCACAGTCCTTAATAGCTTATTGCCGCTTAACTGATTATGAAATCCTCCGCTTTTATGGAACTCAAAGGTCCATCACCGTGGTTACAAAAGCCTACAAGTGCACCTCATTCTGGGTAAGATTAATCCAGTCTAGTTAGATAGGGGCCGGTCACGGTAGCCGAGCGGTCTAAGGCATGGACTGTCTTCGCTCGCTTGGAAACGGGATCATGGATTCGAATCCCACTCAGGGCATGGATGTTTAGTTTGTGTGTGTGCGTTTTTCTGTGTTTGTGTGCAGGTAGAGGCCTTGCGACGAGCTGATCACTCGCCCAAGGAGTCCTACCGTATGTGTAAGATCTAGAAAAACCGAAGTGAACGGAGAAGTTCATGGAGGTAGGCCTAGGCCCACTGGGGCTGTAGTGCCAAGGGGAAAAAAAAGTTAGATAGGAAATGGGGGGATAATAATTAATTATTATTTTTTTTTTAGGTTGTGACAAATAAACGTTTCCTAGGTCCTGTTTAATAATCGTAACATGCCAACCTTTTACAATGAGTCGTTGTTAGGTGCCCCCTCACCCAATTCGCAGCCTGGAAGACCATCCCTTCCTGTATGCGCACGACTGTTTACTGCACCCAAACATTCCAAAATAAATTACGCATCTTCCGTGTCTTTTCCACATCATCTGTTTATTTTGCAAGGGAGAAACATCAATGCCTTTACATAATTGTTGAGGACTGCATCCTGTTGCGTATATACAATGAAAATATAAAATTTTTATCGTCAACGCAACAATACTTTATTATTTATTTATCTATGTAGCACGCACTACATGTTTCGACCTCAAACGTGTTATCTTCAGGTGTTGCAAGTTTCTCGCATACCATTACCGAACTAAAAGGCTAACATTCCCATTTTTATAAATAGTTCATACAAGTCAGTTTCTTTACATTGTTTACTGTACGGAATGTGGAAGTTATGAGTAAATGAATGTATGCGTTTACGTAGCTCGGCTCATTATCTTAGTGTGGACAATTGCCTACAGTTTCCCATTATCAAGAAGTCCATCATTTGCTTCTCATTTTCAGTAGATACAAAGTAAATTCCAAAAATATTATCCTGTCGACCTGTGTGTGACCCAGTCCTCTAGAGCGATTTTAACCACTGCAAATCTTCGGGAAAAAAGAAACAGCACTCACAGAACAAAATCTAGCTCTTCATTTAAAGTAGGCCTATATTTAAATAAATTAATAATTACAAAATTGTATTAGACCCTTTACCTTTCATACTATAGGCCCATTCTTACATGATAATTGTCCCAAAGACTATATTCGAATATTATTGTCTAGTAGCGGAACCGGAAATTTCACATCACCAATATGAAGGCATGCCATTGGGTACATTATCAGCCAATTTCATTGGTTTCTCGTCCTTTCAGTCCAATTTCTTGTTATCTGGCGTGTTAACCCCCCTTGAAGTTCCACCCACCTCCCCATTTTGTAAGATCAGTGTTAATGTTATTTCGACTCCTTATCCGTCTTCTTAGTGGATGATTTTCAAGAAGTCCCCATAAACCACGTGTGAAGAAATGGGCAAGAAATGTCCACCTGACATTGACTGAAACTTCCCTCAAAGGGAAAGAAAATATGATGATAGTACTGACACCATTTGTCCAGTGCTTTTTCCCTTGACCCTGACCCTACCTTCTGCAGAAGTTGAGGTCGATTGTCCAGTAACTGTTGGCTGGCAGATGGTGCGACAGCCGTGGATGTGCTTGCTCCTCCAGGGTCGCCAGGCGTGATCCCTTTTGTGAGACGGCATGCCTCTACACGACGTTGAAGGTTCTGGAGAGCCTTGGCTTCCTCCCGACGTCTACTCGGTCGTGGTACACTGGCACCGCACCCTGGAGCAAAACTCACCGTCTGCTGTTGCTGTCCAGCCCCATAACTTTCGCTTCCGTAATTGGCACCAAGAAGTCTGCGACTAGCCGGGAAGCGCATTGCCCCACCGCGGGTGATTGATGCCGGATCCTCTGGGTCGCGAGTGTCAGCTGAGAGCTCCATCCCTACACTGAGCCTTCTCACCCAGCATCCAGCCCGATTAGTCCCGAACCCTCCACCCCTCTTCTCCATATCTAGGGGCAGGGATCGATAGGCAAGGCGCTTTTGGTCATGACGTTACGATATTCTACCCAGCCATTTTATGTCAGATGCATAACCCTTCATTATACACGTATAAGAACCCGTGGAACATACGTCTACGTTTCTAAAGAACCAACATTGTAAGCAGGTATAAACTCAACAGAAATTATTACTGATTTTTACGAACCATTGGATTTTAAATCTTCATCTTGAAGTGAAATGTTCAAAATATTGCACTACACAGTTTTGGCTGTGCCTCAAGCAATTTTCTCCCACGGTATTCACTTCTGGGGGCACGCGGTAGCGTAGTTGGTTGACGAACTATATTATAAGCCGGAATGTCGCGGGTTTCATTCCCGACGACGTCACTGGATTTTTCAATTAACCGAATCCTTGCAGCCGCAATATTGCCCTGAGGTCGATTCAGCGTCTAACAGAAATGAGTAACAGGAATCTTCCTCAGGATAGAGGGAGGCAGCCCGGTGCATAAGGCTGACAACCCCACTGCCATCTGTGAGCTGATTGTCTAGAAAATGTGGCAGCCTCGACGTCTCACAATCCTATGGACCTCCACAGCCTGTTTCAGGGATAGGTTCACCTTTATTCCTTTCTTCCAGCCGCAAGAATTATAGTTATTCCAATAATTACATCTCGATTCTTTTGTAGGACAGCTCTGATTCCAGGCTGTTACAGGGACTGTTTTCTCCACTGTGTCCAAATTGGTTGTGGGGCGCATATAACTCCCTGTCCTCTTGGTCCCGGAGATTCTTTCCCCGAAATTAAAAAAAATCCACTTTTTGTACTTATCTTCTGTTTTCCTCTCTATGTTTCTTATTTCTCTATCTGTAAAGATTTTGTTATCCTCACGGTTTTCTTGAACAATGAAGGTGGGTTAACGATGAATAATGAAGCGTTTATTGATAGACTATGAAACTAGGAGAATTTCCAAATTAATGTCACGTGTATGAGTGTCTATAGAGAGAGTTTGGACTGGTAACTAGACTTATTGACAACTTAAACACAAAAGTCGCAACTACAAGCAAGTACAGCCTAACTGGTTTACACACTCTAAAGATCAATGTAACTGCAGCACACACAGAGTATTCTGCCTTAACTAATCCTTTCCTGGTAACGTATCTTAAGGATGTCCTCTGCTTATGTCCTTGCCGTCTAGCGAATATCCCACTGCTCATGTATGCTCAAAATTAAAGTCAAACGACGTGCGACAGACCGAAAAGAGGGTGATGTTCTCAGAAAGCTGCAGCGAGGTCTCAGTGCTTGAGACGTGGTGTGAGTGCTGGTACATACGAGTAAAAATAATTGAAAATAAGACTCATGCCATAAACTTTTCTCATAGACTTAGGTCCCCTTAAGCTCATCTTGCATTGAATGAACGGAATATCCCCCCCGTAAATATTGTAAAGTATCTCTGTGTAATCTTCGATAAGAGGATTACATGGAGACTGCATATACACATAGAAATGACTGAAGACAAGGCCTTCAGAGTTGTTCAAAAGTGAGCGTTTAAGCGCCAACATTAAACTAACCCTCCACAAGGCACTGATCAGATCAGTAATTACTTCTGCTTGCCCCTCCCGGGAATTAGCGGCAGACACGTACTTCTTAAAATTGCAGCGCCTACAAAACAAGGATCTCCGCACCATTGGGAATTTTCCCAAGGTGCACACCGGTCCGCGATTTGCACGTGGCTTTCAACCTTCCGTATGTATACGATTATATAACAAAATTGTGTAGGCAACAAGCAGACGTCACACAAAATCATGAGAATCAACATGTTCGTGGCACAGGACAAGGCGAAGCCAGACATAGAAAATATATGATGATTAAACTTTGCGGTGTGAAAACTGACGAATGTCCCACTACTCAGCTAAGCTCTAAACTCTGTCCCGCTTATAACATCTCGTCATGGATCAACAGAAAACACAACTCTTCTAATGTTGCGGGCATTACCCAGCAACGGTCGCTATTTACAGAGTCACCGCTTAGCAACGGGTCTATATATCACATTACTTACTTACTTACTCATGGATCTGAGCCCTTCTGGAGGACCTACCAATTCTGCAGCTACTCAAGAATTTCCCAGCATTTTATGGAACCCGAAGGTTCATTACTATGTTCACAAGAGCCCTCCACTGGTCCCTATCCTGAGCCAGATCTATCCAATCCATACCAACCCATCCTATCTCTCTAAGATCCATTCTAATATTGTCCACCCACCTACGCCTTGGTCTTCCCTGGGGCCTCTTTCCTTCTGGCTTTCCCACCAATATCCATTTTCGAAACATCTGTTTCCTATCTTTATGTCATGATTTTGCCCTGCATTTTGGTGACGAGACAGTAACATATACTTAGTTTTCTCTGTGTCTACTTCTAGACCAACCTCTTTACTTGCGTCAATTAAAGTTCATGTGTTTTTCTTTATGGTATCTACATTATCAACCAGTAGATTCACATCATCGGCATAGACCAACAGCTGATGTGTCCTGTTTAATTTCAGTCCCACCTGGTATCCCTGGACCTTCCTAATTGCATATTCTAAGGCAAACTTGAAAAGGAGTGGCGATAAAGCATCTCCTTGTTTTAAACCATTCTGGATAGAAAATTTATCAGACACATGTTTACCTACAAAGACTTTACTATACGTTTCGTTTACACACATTTTAATCAACCTAACTAGTTTCATGGGTATCTCAAATTCTATTAGAATATTGTACAATACTTGCTTACTATCTGAATCATAGGGTTTTTTGAAGTCTATGAATAGCTGATGTACTGTCTCATCGTACTCCCATTTTTTCTCCAATATCTGAAGAATGCAAAAGATCTGATCTGTAGTTGATCTGTTACGTCGAAACCCACACTGATGATCCCCAATAATGTCATCTAAATATTGACTTAACCTTGAATGAAGAATATTGGACAAAATTTTATATGAAGTTGATAGCAGTGATATCCCCGGATAATTACAGCCAGTTTTATCACCCTTCTTGTGAATTGGTACAATAATAGACTTCTTCCACTGATTAGGCAATTTTTCCTTATGTCAAATATAAGTAATTAGATTGTGGATCTCAGAACGTAATATTTCGCCTCCTGCTTGAATAAGTTCTGCCGGAATTTGATCACTACCTGGCGATTTATACCTTTTCAATTTTGCAATAGCACTTTCAACCTCAAAAGGTCTAGGATCAGGTACTAACGGCTCAGCTGTATGGATTTCTGTCTGCCTAACAGCACTGACCCTATATACATTGAATAACTGAGAGAAGTAGTTCCTGCACCTATTCAAAATGTTGTGGGAATCTGCAAGCAGATCACCATTCTCATCCTTCACTAAGTTACTGCTAGGCTGGTAACCCCTCTTAAAGTCATTTATTCCTCTATACAGGTCTCTAATGTTCTTGTTCTTACTGTTCATTGCAAGCTCATCTATTTTGTCTTTCAGATATTCCCTCTTTTTGTTCCTGAAATGCCTGCTGGTTTCACGTCTTATATTGTTCAGATTATCCCCATGTAACTCGCTTGGATCCTGTAACCATTGCAATTTGGCCTGCTTTGTTTTATCTAATAATTTTGAGCATCCTTCATCGAACCATGGCTTATGCTTCTTCGGTTCATAATAACCCAGACTTTTTCTTGGCACTACAGCCCCTGTGGGCCTAGGCCTACCTCCATGAACTTCTCCGTTCACTTCGGTTTTTCTGGATCTTACACATTCTGTAGGACTCCTTAGGCGGGTGCTCAGCTCGCTGCAAGGCCTCTACCTATACACAAACACAGAAAAACGCACACACACAAACTAAACATTCATGCCCTGAGTGGGATTCGAACCCACGATTCAGGTTTCCAAGCGAGCGAAGACAGTACATGCCTTAGACCGCTCGGCTACCGTGACCGGCCTAGACTCTCTTTGGCAGACATTTCTATATATTCTCTCTATAGTTTCCCAAGCTGTATTAACATCCACCTCAGTTTCCAAGTTTTCCAAACCCGTGAACCTATTTGAGATATCAAGACAATACTGCTCTTTACCCTCTACCTCATTTAATTTCTTGCATTGAACCTCTCCATACGAACTCTGTGTGTTTATTTGCTCACTGCCAGTCTTTCCCTAACCTTTGCCACCACCAGGTAGTGGTCAGTATCACAATCTGCTGCCCTGAATGATCGGACATTTGAGTGCCGTCTCCTATCTTTCAAAATATGGTCTATTTGATTGTGTATCTTCCCATCAGGAGATGCCCAAGTAAATTTATGGATGTTACGATTGTACTTTTGACAGTAAGATTTTTTGATGTGGCAAAGTTTAGAACTCTAACTCCATTATCATTACTAATTTCATGCAAACTCTCATTCCCAATTGTTGGTTTGAAAATGTCTTCCCTCCCTACTTTGGCATTGAAATCTCCTAACAAAATTTTCATAGGGTACTTCGGGAATTTATCAAATACGTGTTCTAGTTCTTCATAGAATCTATCCTTTATGTCATCAATTTTATCTTCTGTTGGGACGTGAACATTCATAACAATGATATCACACCAGCGACCTTTTAGTATTATATATTATATCCTATCACTAACGAATTCTACCCTCTTAACTGCTGATACGATTATCTTATGTACAAAAACACCTGTACCTAATTCATGATTTTCATTCCCCTTTCCATAGAAAAATGTAGTGACTCCTGCTGGTGCGATGCCACCTCCATCCCATCCAACCTCCTCTACTCCCGCTAAATCTAACTTATATATAAAATTTCTTCTTCCACTGCCCTGAGTGAACCTGCCCTCTACAAACTTCGAGCATTCCAAGTGCCAAATCTCATATCCATTTTAATTAGCTTAGGTCGTTTATCCAAGGAATCCGTCCAGGCCCGAGGCTTTATGTTCATTT